CTTAATCCTGAAGCCATATGCTACTGGCTCTGTGTGTGATCACAATCTATTGTGTTGTGTGATGGCTAACCATTTGAAGGAGGAAGGGGAGGAGGTAAAGAGATGGAAGGTGGTGGTGGCTGGGACGGAGGTAAAGGAGGAGCTGGTTTGTATCCAGCCACATCATCATATAACTCCTGATCCTCTTCTTCCTCTGGAGCTATTGTATCACTAAATAATAATAATAAATAAATGCACATTAATACACAATTAATACATGTACATACATGTATATGTACATGTACATTATGAAGCACAAATTTGTCCTACAAGGTATTTTTATGTCAATAAAAATTATGTTATGTCTCAATTTACCTGCCCCCACTGAAAACCTACTGTTAACAAATAACTCAATATTGTGGCATCACTGCACATACCACACCAAACTGAATACACATAAAAGTGAATATTGTACAGTGTGTATTAGGCATAGAAAAACTACACACAGAAATCGTGTACGTGTACATTGTATAAGCATTTATTACAATACATTACACAAGAGCTGCTTGTTGACTGTAAATCTAAGGTATATTTTTAAGCATAACGATCAAAGTTTATAAATAACAATCACAGCCTACAAATCCTAACAAACCCAGCCTAATGTTAGTTGTGCATTGTATGCTCATCTGTGGTGGCTTGTTTATTTTTTAAAACATACATTACTGCAGCTGTGTCATCATAAATGTCTTCACCGTCGCTTTCTGCCATTGACTCAGTCGGTATAATTGGAGGAGGGCGATGAGCAAAAGCTACAAAATTATAATAAAAAATATAGTAAAGATTAAAAACATTATCATTATAATGTTGGAGATTATACATGATAAAGAAAGAAATACCATAACCAATTGTGCTCAATTAACATATAAATAAATAGGATACTTTATTGCCAAACAAATCATGTTGGATCTACCCCCACACAACATACATAGCATTCTATCATACTCCAATATAAACCAGGGACAAATAAAAAAATCAACAAATTCAGGATAAGTAAATAAAAAAAAACTACAAAAGTAGCTGTCCTCCTTTCCCAAATGTAAACTAAACACACAAAGCAATAATACACACATTATTAATATAATATGACGTATGTATAATTGTGTTGTGTGTATGGTTATTCTTAATAGTAAAAGTATATTAATATTAATACTCTGATTCTCTACAGTGTATAGGCCATGCATGACTATACAGGGACTTATTCTCAGTCAATAAACATATACAACTGTGTTCTGAAACTCAGAGGCAGTATAGTTTAAAAAAACTGTCAAAATAACTGATAGATTGTTACCAGTTGCTGAGTAGAGCATGACCCATTATGTGGGTCAACTGTTTGGCATTCCTTGATATCAAAATACTATAACTATACATTACAGAACAAATGAAGCATCATAAAGCATAGTATGTTAATACAGTTCGCCTGATTTCCTGTGCTATCAGTTATCTGGACAGTATTTTCCCTGGTGAAGCCAAGTTTATTCATCAAAAATACAAGACACAAACAAATGCTATACATCATCAATACTAATGAATGGAAAGGTACATGCTTATGATATGAGCTGTCACTTATAACATACATGAAAGGTTACAAGTAGGGCAGGTACAATGTACATGTATATGTGCAAATACATGCACACTAGTGAATATACATGTATATTGTGACTCACCAGGTATCTTTGGTTTATTGTTTCTAGATGGCAAAGGAGGAGGGTTGTGTATATCCACTGGAGGTAAAGGCAGTCTTCGGTACCTCAGTACAGTCACAGTAGGGGTGGCCTCGCCGTGAGTGACTGGAGGATCAGGAGGAATAGCAGGAGGAGGAGGAGGAGGTTTAAAAGATGGAGGAGGATGACCTTGGGACTCTGGAGGAGGTGGTTTAAAAGATGGAGGACCATTAGGCCCTGGAGGGGGTGGTTTAAAAGATGGAGGACCATTAGACCCTGGAGGGGGTGGTTTAAAAGATGGAGGACCATTAGGCCCTGGAGGGGGTGGTTTAAAAGATGGAGAGCCTTGGGGCTCTGGGGGAGGAGGTTTAAAAGATGGTGGGCCATTAGGCCCTGGAGGAGGTGGTTTAAAAGATGGAGGACCTTTAGGCTCTGGAGCAGGAGGCTTAGGTGCAGGTTTAGGTGCTACGGGTTGACTAGGAGGAGGACGAGAGGTAGGAGGGGAGGGTTGCTGGTCTACTACAGGAGGAGGAGGCCGAGAGATAACAGGAGAGGACTGACCCGCGTTAGGAGGAGGGGGACGAAAGGTAGGCGGGGAGTGGTGCCCTTTTGATGGAGAGGGACGCGGGATGGACGGAGATGGGGCAGGTGGATTAGAAGGAGGTGGGAGCGTCTTTGGTGGAGGAGGAGGTGACTCTTCACCTGATGCTTCACTCTGCCCGCTAGCTGATCGTGGTTTGGGTTTTGGAGCAATACGAGGAGCCTCTCCACCACCACCTCCTCCTGGCTTGGGAGCTGGAGGTGGTTTAGCCGGTTTGACCGGTTTTGCAGCTGGTTTAGGAGCAGGGGCAGGTGGAGGAGTAGCTCCAGTTGATGGTCCACCGATTGTTGTAGCAGCTCTTTTCTTAGCAACCGGTGGAGGGCCGGATTTAAAAGGTGAAGTCCCAGGGCTGGGATCAGCGACTGTAGGTGAGGGTGGAGTGTCTTCATCTTGTGAGTCCTGAGCAACGCTCATCGTACGACGTTTCTTAATAAACTCAGGAACATCATCCTCATTATTGTCTGGCTTCTCGGGTTCGCCGGGAGTCGGGGTTGCCTTCTTTAACTGCTTCAGCCACGGGGCTGCATGTTTGTTCTCATCATCATCTTCTTCTTGCTTCTTCTGCTCCAAGTTCTCGATGGCTTTAGAGCTCATCTGCTGTCGTCTCTTGAGTATTTCGTTCATATCAAGCCCTCCTCCTCCTCCACTAGATCCCTTAGCGGAAGACTTTGAAGATCTCTTAGCAGCGTCCTTCTTTCCTGGCTCTTTCCTCATCTTTACTGGTGCAGTAGAGACTGCTGTGGTAGGGGCTCGAGTAGGGATGGCGGGTGGAGGCCCTGGAGCGGGTTTGGTGCTCTTGCCTGCTGGGAGAGTCCTGTTCTTGGGATCCATCGACGAGTTCCTAGGAGGAGTAGCCGGCGGTGGCTTGTTGAGGGAGACATTAGCAGGTAGAGTTGTGATGCCGCTCAGTGGCCTCTGGTCCCCGTTGTATGGAATATCTCCACCGACTGGGCCGAGATCTTCGTACAGCTCTTCGCCACCGTTGTCGGCAAGATCATCGTATATCTCTTCGGACATGATAATTGTCCAATTCTAGTGCAGTACAGGGACAGCGAAGAAGAAAAAGGAAGAGAGCTGAAAATAATAAATATAATGGGCGTGTCAATTTAGATGGCTACTTATTAATTAAGTGTTTATTAAAAAGGTGGGGCTGAAACTGCAGCAATTTTTTCCTGAAACAGTACAGCTTAAATTACATAAATCTCAAGCATACAAAGCCTACCCTTGCTTGCTTTGAAGTACCTGATGCCTAAATAGATCTATTAAATCATATGAAAAATCATTTTACTAACAGCAAGTTCTAAATCTATCAACTAAATGAAAAATAAAATTCATTAGTTCTATTTATTACTAAAGAGTTACACTACTCTGAGTTAAATTCACCTAAAAGCTACAACTTATTCTGCTACTGCTTTTTGCTTTAAGAAATATATTTGCTGAACTTGTCCTGTCCAACGAGAGTGGACTCCCAATTATCATCCGATGATGTCTGTGACACCAGAATCCAAGTACTGTAGATATAGTATGTTCCAGATATTTCATATCGCTGTCCAGACCAGGCTGTGTTTGATTGAGAATTACCATTTGAGGTATTATCCCACTGAACTGTCCTATGAATAAATTAAACAGGTGTGTTACAATCATGCTAGATCTATATGCACGCTTTATTTACCAGCCTAAAGTCCCAGCAGTTTCATCACCATCTGTATCATACATGCCATAGAACCAATAATACTCATAAGCATCTCCAACTTTGCTGTTGTATATGCCATTCATTTGCCCTTCTGCATAACTTGAAGTGCTTATCACCATTTGTGAGCCCAGCTCATTGGTCCATGTCCCCGAAAGAGACGTAGGAATTGTAAATGCTGTAAAATTTATGACTCATTTAAATGCTCTAGATAATACATATTGACATACTTAGCAGTTTAACATCAATCCTAGGTGATGGAGGTGCAGAAGCTCCTGGTTTGCCTTTACAAATGCCTTGCAGTTCATCAAATGAAATCTATTGAATCAAATGACATCAGATTAGAGGTACATTTATTATACTCACTTTTCCATTTTTCACAATTATAGCAACAGCTTTTCTTGCCATAGAAGCATCACATGCAGTTGAGCCTTTTAGTATGACCTGAAGGCCTTTGTGTTTAATGAATCCAGACTTTTCCTTGTCTGCTTCATCAAAGCGTTTTCTCAAATCCAGAGCCATTGTAGTTAGCTATAGACTACCTGAGGCAACAATTCACAGCTATTTATAGTTACCAGGGAATTTCATTAACTCTGATGACATATAAAGCAGGATATGATATTGAAATTGAGCCTATAGGACAAATCTCATTTTATCTGCAATATTATTACTATAATAATACTAGGCAGTGCCAGTCCTTAACTTAAAGCTATTCATGACCATATACTCATGATAATTTTTGTCAAGCTCTACTTGTCAACATAAGTTAAGCATATTTTAAATATTAGTTAAGCCTATGTGCAAAGGAAGGATCAATGTATATGCATAATGACTATCATTAGTGCTCACTGAGGGTCTGCAGGTGGTAAGAATGATTATATCAATGCTACTGCTTCATTTCTTCCCACAAAATTCTATAGACAGTGAAGACATTCAGTCATTATTAAATTAGGTTGTGGCATTACAGATTCATTCTACACATTATTTATGACTATGTGCCAATATCAACAGTCTAGGACATATACTTATTACCACCATATGACCTCTCAATTTCTGTAATGACGAATAAATAAATAAATTGATGGTCCTAAATAAACAATAACAAAATACAGTATCCTTATAATAAACTAATTATTGAGCTTGTTTTATTGATTGGTGGTAGGATATCCTCTACTTTATAGGGATGCTAATGCATATTATGATTACTATTCCTTTGAGTTTAGATTTGCTAAGTCTAATGATCAAAATCAGCTCAAACTTTTTCCACACAGCATAAAAGCATGCATATTTATCAGGATTGTGATAGAATATACAATTCTGTCCAAGCCACTTTAAAGGGTGAAGAAAGCCCTGAAAGACAAAATACTGAATAGAACACAGATTTTCATAGATTATTCATTGTCCATCAAACCATTAGACACATGATATGTCATAAAAGCATCATGCCCAAAGCATAAGATGAGTTGTGACTATTTCTGATGACATAAAAAGTTTCATCAAAGTTCCCCCTCTCTCTCGCTAAAGCTAGCTAGACTAGTATAACTGTTATTGACTGACACTGTATCGATTGAAATGGTAGGGCCTGTTTGCTGTTGGTCCGAATGTTCACACTAGTATTGATACTAATATATCCAAGACAAAATATCTGTAGCACCATAAATATTAGATTACTTTAGCAAGAGTACATAATACTTAGGCTGTATTTAGATATAGACATGCACAGTGTCCTCATTGCTCTGCTTAGCTAGCTTATTGGAGGTGTGGCTCACTTGCATAGAAAATGGCTACATCATCAGAATCATCAAAGAAAGAAGAGACTGTTGGTTTATTATTCGACCTAGCCACCAAACAGAGAGAGCATTGTCAGCTTCTACTCAATGGAGAAGCTAAAAGTACATGCCTTATTATTACTATTTAGTTACAATGTTTTTTAATGCTTCACTTTAGGTTCTCCTCATAAAGAGTGTCTTCAGAAAGCAGTAATGTCTATTGATATATGCACTGGACTCTTAGAAATGAAAGAATCAGTCAACAAGGCCAAAGCTTATCAACAAGCTCTCCAAAAGTATGTGCAGGTAAACAACGCTCCCTTTAAGCCCAACATACACTACATTCAACAATGTTGCTTTCAGCCTTTGATCATGCTTTGATGTGGTTAAGCAACATGTTGCCTTTAATAGAAAGCCTGTCTATGTCTTTCAACAAGGTTGACAGAAAGATCAAAGCCTGGCAACATGTTGCCTGTATTGTATGTTGGGCTTCAGAAGCTCACTATCAAAAAACTACATCAATTCATTTTTATGCATGGCAAAACTGATAATTCCAGATTCATTATGTCAAAATTATATTACATGTATGTATTGCATTGTATTAATGTAGTCAATACTTGATTCAACTTATTATCAAGAGTGTGTTCTGGTTGATTATGATTTCCCTCAAGTAACTGTCAAGGAAGATATCAATGCTTTATTAAGTTAGTGTACTTTAATGAATGTTCTCAGTATAATGTTTTGTGTAGATCAATTTGCAACTTTTATGAAGTTATGTGGGAGTACTGAGTCACAGGTACTGTCAGCACTCATTGCACTATAAGTAATACATTTTTGGTGTGTTTGTATAACAATGCAAGTACACTGTAGTACAGTGGAACCTGCTAAAAATTAATAAACTCAGCAATAATTAATAATGGGTGTGGTTCCCAGTTGTCCAGCCGTAGCAAGGTTCTACCAATTTTGGATGGAATTAAATTTGGCAAATTTGGCGTTTTGATAGCCATTTGCCAAAATAAAACAACAATTTTGAGCCATTATGCGCATGCTCAATGGCACGTGGCCACCAATTTGCCAAATTAAAATCCGCCAATCACCAAAATTTAGCAATTCGCCAAATTTTAGTCTCTCCAAAATTTTCCGCTATACAATATTAGACCAAAGGGGACTTGGACGAGCGGCTGCTTTGCGCATTACACGGGGATGCATTAGACAAGTCAATAGCTAATCCTTTTGTACAGGTCTTGATCTGGATTTTGGCTTATGGCTGTAATAGAGAGGTGACCTCACTATTCAGGTGACCGTTAGCACAAGTTCCACTGTATAAAAAACTTGATAATAATCATGATGCTGCATAATTAATTTTTGGATAGATTTTTGTTAAGATATCATCTCATTTGTAGTTAATAAGTATTCTTGGTGAGGATATAATGGAGTGTATCCATTGGAGGGTTGGTGCTTTGATGTACATGTTAGCAAATACTATTATGAATATGGAAACCAGGAGGGAAACTGTTGATAAGAATTGGCTCAGAGAAGTAAGGCCTTATATCAAGTTACGCAGTTTAATTTTTAAATGTCATAGTCATGGCCAGAGCTACAAAAATTAAAGTGGTTTGTCAAAAATTTTGAATTCACCAAATAATAATTTGACAATATCAAAAAATTAAAAAGAGAAAGAATGCAGCATAATCATAACAAAGTTCAAAATTTAGAGCTATAGGAAGCTACAGTCTACAGCCTTGTAGTCTGCAGACTGTATAGCTACCTACTTAAAATAGTGAATTTTTATTAATAAACGTTAATTAATCAAATGGCCACACCTATAACTTTTTTGCATGAAAAGTGATACAGTCAAACCTTACTACTGGCCATACCAGTGGCTCCGGCCATGGTCATAGTAGTCGTAATTTTTGTTTGTTTAATTTTTGAATTAAAATAATTGTTTGTTTATTCCTTTAATTATGTGCAGTGCTGTTATGTTGGTGTGCTTCACTTGATGATGGTATTTGAGGTTAGGACTCCTCTCACTGCATCAACTGATGAATACACTACTAATGATCAGAGAATAGTGGAGCTATTAAGTCAAGGTAATTTTTGTTCATAAATGTTAATTTTATGATTGAAATTCCAAATTTTACATAGCATATGTATATCAATGTGTATCAAACAATGAAATAAAAATTAGGGGTCATTTTTTGGAAATAAGCATGGGCTATAGCCTTTGCTCTTTTTCAAAAATTGGTTAGTTTTTTTCAATTAGCTCATAACTCAAAAATTATTTATCGGAAATAGCTCAAACTTTCTACTACATAACATAAATACACCAATATGTATCGGAAAATGTAATAAAATTTGTGCTAGTTTTGGAGCCATTTTTAAAAAACCATGGGCTATAGTGTAGGGCATTTTTTAGAAAATGACCCATTTTGAAAAATGGCCATAACTTGAAAAATTGAAGCCAAAATCAAGTCAAACTTTCTACGTAGCATAAGTGCATCAATTTGTGTCAAAAAATGTAATAAAAATTGTGGTAATTTTGGAGTCATTTTTGAAAAAAAACCATAGGCATTTTTTCAAAAATGGCCATTAAAAAAAATTTTTTTAGATTGAGCTGATTTTGGTTTTAAATTTTTTGTGTACTGAAAATTTTTAAAACTAGTCAAAATTTGAAGCATAAACTACAGCTTATGGTTTTTTCCTCCAAAATGACCACAAATTTTTTTGATACATATTGATATACTTATGCCATGTACGTGATTCCGACTTCAATTTTTTGAGCTATGACCATTAACGTAAAAATTAATAAATGACTCACATGTAGCATAGAAATAATTATACTTAACAGACATTTCTCCTTATTGTAGGAATAAGGAGTGACACTCACATGCTAGCACTAGCTTATGGTGGTGAACTATCATACTGGTGCATCACTAACAATGGAAGCAATGAGATACCTCAATATCCTCAACTATACAAAGTTCTTGATACAGTGACTGAAGGAGCTGATAGACCTAGTATCCAGTCAGTGGGTAGTATTGGCATGAAGTTCTTATCAAGATACATAGAGCTGGCTAAAGGATCATTGAGCATGCAGTCATGGCAGTGTGAGAGACCAGAGGAACTATTAGCAGAACTAAGGAAACAATAATGGCAATTTATGCTTATGGTAATTAATGTAATTCTCGGTTTTTTATTATTTAAAATTATTGTGTATTAGAATAGTATTAGAAAAAAAACATGGGCTATAGTCTATACTTTTTAAGAAACTGGCTCGTTTTAAAAATGCTCATAACTCGAAAATTATTTGTTGGAAATATCTCAAACTTTCTGCATAGCATAAAAACATCAATGCATCTATGATCAATATGTATTTTTTAAATGTAATAAAAATTTGGGATCGGACCCATTTTTTGGAAAGGAACCATGGACATTTAATGTGACCTGGTGTCCATGAAGCCCTACAACTGCCTTACAACATTGTTGCAGCAATAGTCCTTTGACTATCAAAGTGAATTGGTGACTATCAAAATAATTTTGACACTAATCACCTCCCATTCTTTCTCTACAACAATTGTATGCTAACCTCAGAATGCATACAACAGCCACAACTGTATGAAAACCAGGCTTTGATGTCTTCACCTTACTTAATTTTTGCCTAACAAGAATTACATGATACAAAGCCTACCCTTGTTGCCTCATACCTAGATCTAGATGGATCTAATCATTTAAAAAATCATTTTACTTATTAGTTACAAGTTACACTAGTCTGAATTAAATAATTCACCTAAAAGCTACAACTTATTCTGCTACTGCTTTTTGTTTTAAGAACTATCTTTGCTGAACTTGTCTTGTCGAATAAGAGTGGACTCCCAATTATCATCCGATGTTGTCTGTGACACTAGAACCCAAGTACTATAGATGTACGATCTTTCAGATAATTTATATTGCTGTCCAGACCAGGCTGTAATGGACTGAGTCTGAGATTTGCCATATGAAGTATTATTTCACTGAACTGTTTTTATAAATAAACAAGCATGTTATAATTATCATGCTATGCACTGCTTTATTTACCAGCCCAAAGTGCCACCAGTTTCATCACCATCTGTATCATACATGCCACCATAATGGACGTATGAATTTCTGACTTTACTCTTGTATAAGCCAGTCATTTGCCCTTCTGCATAACTTGAATTGCTTATCACCATTTTTGAGCCCAACTCATTGGTTCATGCCAATGCATAAAGGGATGTAGGAATTGTATAGGCTTCAAAATACTCATTTTAATACTAGATGATCTATTAACATACTTAGCAGTTTAACATCAATCCTAGGTGATAGAAGCACATAAGCTCTTGGCTTGCCTTTAGAAATGCCTTGCAGCTCATCAAATGAAATCTATTGAATCAAATGACATCAGATTAGAAGTACCTTTATTACACTGACTTTTCCATTTTTCACAATTATAGCAACAGCTTTTCTTGCCATAAAAGCATCACCTGCAGTTGAGCCTTTTAGTATGACCTGGAGACCTTTAATTGTGTTTAATGAATCCCTACTTTTGCTTGCCATAGCTATTTATTATATCTAATTAACGCAGCAGCTCCTGGCTATTTATAGTTTATAAGGAATTTTGTTAGCTATTTGTGACATAAAGCAGGATATGACAGTTGCAATAAAGCCAATGTATAAAACTGCATATGCATGTCTAAGATAGATATGTCAATTTCTACTCTGTCAGTAGTCTAATGTATGTAATTGAGAGTCTGGTGGTAAGAATGAACTATGGCAGTCTACGGCAAACAAGACTATAGTCTAGACATGGTGACATTGCTGTCATTATTAAATTAGATTGTGGTATTACAGACTTACTCATGCACACAATTTATAATTAGATTCACTCAGACTTACTATATGATTTGCATAAATTTATACTACTGAAGTGAGCTCACCCAGAGACAATACTATCCAACTAACAAGACATTCACTTTAATTATAATCTCAAATTGCCTATATCGCAAAATAAGATAATGGTGCCAGATTAAAATGCCATTTGGTATTATTTTGTTAAAACTGATATGATCTCATTTTTGCATGTGCATGTATCATGTAGATGTATAGGTAGTTTTATTCTTGATGAAGCCATAATAGAGTGTGATGAAAATAGTCATAGGACATTGTTACTTTGCTATACTTCAAGAGTTATTATTTTTAGCGAAGCCTATATGTGGAATTCATTAACACAAAAAAATTCATTTTATTACATGAAAACAGATACTCTAGTATGAATTAAATTCATTTACAGTTGTCTTGCAACTCATTTTGTTACTGCTTTTCAAGTTGTTTCAATCATCTTTGCAAAACTTGTCCTTTCCAGTGAGAGTGGACTCCCAATTATTCTCCAATGTTTCCTGTGAAACCAAAAGCCAAGTAGTGTAGATATACAATTTTCCTGATATTTCATATCGCTGTCCAGACCAGGCTGTATTGGATTGAGAATTGCCATTTGGCCCATTATTCCACTGAACTGTCCTATGAAAATAATTTACAGTTAAAAATGTGTTAGATGTATGCATATAGAACATATTTACCAGCCCAAAGTGCCACTAGTTTCATCACCATCTGTGTCATACAAGCCATTCAAATCATAATAGTCATATGCATCTCCAACTTTGCTACAGTACAAGCCATTAATTTGCCCTTCTGCATAACTTGATGCAGATATGAACATTTTTGAGCCCAGCTCATTGGTCCATACCCCAGCAAGAGATGTAGGAACTGTAGAGGCTATTAATTTATGAACAATACTCAATAGTCTATAATTATTAGCATACTTTGCAATTTAGAATCAATTTTAGGTGAGGGAAGTACAAAAGTTCCTGGCTTGGATTCACAAATGTGTTGCAATTCATCAAGTGAAATCTATAATTCAAATTATGACTTATATACACAATTATAACTTTATTTACTTTTCCTGTTTTGCCAATGAGAGCTATAACTTTTCTTGCTGTACAAGCACCAAATGCATCCAAGCTATTTAGTACTGCCTGGAGACCATTGTATTTAATGAATCCAGCCTTTTCCTTGTCTGCTTCTTCAAAACTTTTTTTCAGATTCAGAGCAGTCATTGTGGTAATAAAGGCAACAGCTTTAGCTAGCTATTTAAAGAGCGGATTGAATGTAACACCGAGGGAGAACGCTGGATTGTAGCTAGGGCCCCATGGTGCACCTATTATCAATGCCAAAATTTGATCGCCCGGAAAATACCACTCATTGTTATTTTCCCGCCTGCGCCGCCTGTGAGGCTATGCCCTCAGTATCTATATACTATCTATACATAGATACTACCTATGAAAATAGATAATGATTTTTCATAATCACAATAATCACTAGAACTAGTCTACTTTAAAATAATTATAGATTGACGATAAAAGGAGCCCACGCCTCAGTATCAATAATTGCATAGATAATGAACGATCGTTCCATTATCTATACTGAGGCGTGGGCTCCTTTTATCGTCAATCTATTATTTTAAAGTAGTTATCATAATCACAGTACATGTAATATGTACTGTGATTATGAAAAATCATAGGATTGGAAACTGGATCACGTGCGCCACTTTTCACAGTTCGATCGGGCCGTCGATCCTTGTTTGCCGCGAACATGACGCCATGTACAACTCTCGTTTTTCGTGGGACTGTAACTCTTCATCTAAGGTATACCAGACTCTATACAAAGGCTCACTTTGTTGCTAAAAGATTGGTCTTTGAGGTTAGCTATTTTATTTACTACTTTTGTGAATCTTTCGTGATGCTTTACTATCATTTGTGGTTGAAAAGCCCGTTCTAGGTACCTCTATGGGCTTTCAACCACAAATGATAGTAAAACATCACGAAATGATAATTGGGGCGAGCCTGAGCTCGCCCATAGATATTATCTATGATTACTATAATCTATGGTCTGTCTGTGCATACTATGGGGCGCCAAATGAGTCAAAACTGTAAGAAAATACAAGAGTATATAATTTCTAAAATGAACTGCTTTTATGTATACAACCGTACATACACAATAAGCATATATCTACCAGCATATCAGGCCCGTAGCCAGGGTTACAAAAAGGGGGGTGCCGAAGTATGAGTTACATAAAATGGGGGGTGACAAGTAGGCCTGGATGCACATGAAATACCAAAATACATGTTTGATTTAAGCAAACAAACAAAGGTACTAATTCAAAAGGGGGTGACATGTCATCCCAATCATCCCCCCTGGCTACGTGCCTGCATATGTACCGGTATATTTCAGAGGGAATATATATTATATACCTTCATGATATATTATATTCCTTCAGCAAATACATAAATATGCCAACACTTACATTCATAGGGGTAGGAACAAACTAAAAGTTGGGGGGGCTAAGGTATTATTTTTACAATTGATCATTAATACATAGCATGTACTGAAATTAATACTGTCCAAAATATTGGCGTCCATGCTCATTAAATGTAACAAATTCCTTTGCAATGTCCTCAATGTGTAAATCATCTGTAAATTCTTTGTGTGTATGCAAAATAACTACATGATTAAGACGCTCTTGTGACATTGTGGAGCACAAGTAGTTTTTAATCTCCTTAACGTCGAAAATGTATGCTCAGCTGAAGCTGATGTTAACAGAGTTGTTAAATAAAGAAGTAGAAGCCTGAAAAAACTAATAAAAGTGTGTTCTTAGAAGTTAAGCTAGTGCATTAATTGTTTTATGAAACGAATCATCACACAATATGCACACATATAAGGATTACCTAAACTAAAGTCTATAGTGTTGATAATAGTAATACATGTACATCACTTAAAGTTGGAGGGGCTAAGCCCCCCTTCAATGAAAGTTGGGGGGGCTTAAGCCCCTCCTGCCACCCCTGTTCCTACCCCTATGCTTACATTTACCCTCAGCATTTGTTCGATACCTACCTGCCTTTTTATATAGAGCTACCTCATATATAAGTACCTACACCTACTTGCAATAAACTATAAACCTACAGGCATTTATAAATACCTATTGTTAATCAGTGTGGCTTAATAACTTATCGAGAAAAAATATTGATATCTGGCCTTTTTAGGCAATATCGTATCATATTGCATTGTTTCAAACATATATAATCTATGTTTCAAAATTTCCAATATCGCCCAGCACTACATCATAGACCATAGATACAGCATAGACTTGGGAATTTTGTTACAAAGGGCGTGCCCTCAGGCGTGCCATATACTCCTGCATGTACCGCTTTATAATAGGAAGTGTGGTTCATTTGCATGAAGAAGAATGGTGTTAGCTATTAGCTTATTACTTGACCTAGCCACCAAACAGAAAGAACATTGTCAGCTTCTATCTACTCAATGGAGAAGCTAAAAGTACATGCCTTATTATTACTATTCAGTTACAATACTTTTTAATGCTTCAATGCAGGTTCTCCTAAGAAAGAGTGTCTTCAGAAAGCAGTAATGTCTATTGATATATGCACTGGACTCTTAGAAATGAAAGAATCAGTTAACAAGGCCAAAGCTTATCAACAAGCTCTCCAAAATTATGTGCAGTAAACAACGCTCCCCTTAGAAACTCACTATCAAAAAAACAAAAATCTATGTCAATTCGTTTTTATGCATAGTAAAACTCACAATTCCAGATTCATTATGTCTAAATTATGTTATGTATTGTATTATAATAATGTAGTCAATACTTGATTCAACTTATTATGAAGAGTGTGTTCTGGTTGATTATGATTTCCCTCAAGTAACTGTCAAGGAAGATATCAATGCTTTATTAAGTTAGTGTACTTTAATCAATGTTCTCATTATAATGTTTTGTGTAGATCAATTTGCAACTTTTATGAAGTTATGTGGGAGTACTGAGTCACAGGTACTGTCAGCACTCATTACACTATAAGTAATACATTTTTGGTGTGTTTGTATAACAATGCAAGTACACTGTAGTATAAGAAACTTGATAGCAAAATCATGATGCTGCATAATTAATTTTTGGATAGATTTTTGTTAAGGTATCATCTCATTTGTGTTGATGCAGTTAATAAGTATTCTTGGTGAGGATATAATGGAGTGTATCCATTGGAGGGTTGGTGCCTTGATGTACATGTTAGCAAACACTATATTGAATATGGAGACTAGGAGAGAAACTGTTGATAAGAATTGGCTCAGAGAAGTAAGGCCTTATATCAAGTTAGGCAGTTTAATTTTTAAATGTCATAGTCATGGCCAGAGCTACAAAAATTTAAAGTGGTTCATCCAAAATTTTGAATTCACCAAATAATAATTTAACAATATCAAAAAATTAAAAAAGAGAAAGAATGCAGCATAATCGTAACAAAGTTCAAAATTTACAGCTATAGGAAGCTACAGTCTATGGTCTTGTAGTCTGCAGACTGTATAGCTACCTACTTAAATTTATTAATAAACATTAATTAATCAAGACGGCCACGCCTATAAATTTTTTGCATGAAAAAGTGATACGGTCAAAACCTTACTGGCCATACCAGTGGCTCCAGCCATGGTCATAGTAGTCGTAATTTTTGTTAGTTTAATTTTTGAATTAAAATAATTGTTTCTTTATTCCTTTAATTATGTGCAGTGCTGTTATGTTGGTGTGCTTCACTTGATGATGGTGTTTGAGGTTAGGACTCCTCTCACTGCATCAACTAATGAATACACTACTAATGATCAAAGAATAGTGGAGCTATTAAGTCAAGGTAATTTTGTTTGTTCATTAATGCTAATTATATGATTGTAATTCCAAATTTTGCATAGCATATGTATATCAATGTGTATCAAAAAATGAGATAAAAAATTGGTTGTCATTTTTTGGAAATAAGCATGGGCTATAGCCTTTGCTCTTTTCCAAAAATTGGTTGGTTTAAAAAAATAATTAGCTCATAACTCAAAAATTATTTGTCGGGGGCAGCTCAAACTTTCTACATAGTATAAATACATCAATACATATCAGAAAATGTAATAAAAATTTGTGGCAATTTTTTGGCCATTTTTGAAAGAAAAAACCGGGGGCATTTTTCAGAAAATGGCACATTTAAAAAAATTGTCATAGCTCAAAAAATTAAAGTTGGAATCACATCAAATTTTCTACATAGCATAAGTACATCAATATGTATCAAAAAATTAATAAAAATTTGTGGTCATTTTGGAGCCATTTTTTGAAAAAAAAAAACCATGGGATTGCTTTAACCTTTTACTAGTTTTTAAAAATTTAAAGCCAGAATCAGGTCAATCTAAACAATGTAAAAATTAGTAAATGACTCACATGTAGCATAGAAATAATTATACTTAACAGACATTTCTCCTTATTGTAGGAATAAGGAGTGACACTCACATGCTAGCACTAGCTTATGGTGGTGAACTATCATACTGGTGTATCACTAACAATGGAAGCAATGAGATACCTCAATATCCTCAACTATACAAAGTACTTGATACAGTGACTCAAGGAGCTGATAGACCTAGTATCCAGTTAGTTGGTAGTATTGGCATGAAGTTCTTATCAAGATACATAGAACTGGCTAAAGGATCATTGAGCATGCAGTCATGGCAGTGTGAGAGACCAGAGGAACTATTAGCAGAACTAAGGAAACAATAATGGCAATTTATGCTTATGGTAATTAATGTAATTCTTGGTTTTTTATTATTAATTATTGTGTATTAGAATGGTCAATTTATAACTTGTGAAGTGTCATCACTAAAATTGTATTTTAAAGTAGAAGCTATTGTTTTTCATGAATCTTATTAAGATAGCCACAAGAATTGTCATGTGCCCATATCATAACAATGCTCATATGTTCACTAAATATCATTACACATTCATTAATAGCAATAGCAATAACAATAATAGTGGCGAATGTCTTTAGGGAAAAAAGCAGCATAATAAGCATAATAAAATAATGTTAAAGTTAGCAACTAAGAATAACAAAGGGGAAAGCAGCAAAGTCTGTGCTATAATATCAAATGTTTAGTTATTTGACGTATATCTCGTAGAAACTTATAGGTACATCTTCGTTACCTGGAGACTGATCTCCGCAGACTCTTATTTCAATATAGTCAGTGATGCTTGCAGTAAAGTTCCTATAGAACCAGGGCTGACCAGGAACTGCACAGCAAGCTTGCTCCATACTACCACAACCCTGTCCATCCCACAGCGGATCGTTTGTGTACATTGTTCCAAATATGCCATTGTTGGGATTACCAGATTCACAATAGTAATTGCTGCCAACAAAAGATGGTACAGTTTGTGTGCTCCCAGTATTACAGGGGCAGCTATATCCTCCACCATCATTGTGTGATTGTCTTGGGCCAGCTGCTAGTGTCCACACATGTGTACGAGGAGATCCATAAGTTATACTGACTCCCTCGACGTAGTAGCTATTGATACCACCACCACCACGGAATGCATCAGTTGTAGCATACTGGTAGCCAACAACTCTACCGCATATCTCAGAGTAGCTGAGAACGTTTGGCGGGATTTGCTGTGAGACACAACTAGCCGAGCTACCAGGCCTGCCACAAGCTCTTATGGAACCTTTAGTGTATTGACGGAATCCAGAAGGACAGCTAGTTGTAGAATCGCCCATATCAAAATAACCCATTCTTGTCCAGCCTCCAGTCGTATTGCAAAGATTGTCCATATTACAATACACAGTTTCACTGTTAATGTGATAATAGCCAGTAGGACTATCTGGCTGGGCCATGTAGATATCCTTGCACGTTATATGCTGGAGCGTGTTCAATAGTTGAGATGCATTTTGTATGGCAGATATACCATTGACCAATAGCAGGATGTCATCGATGACCCCTGCACTAGTGGTACTGGTGCTTTTAAGAGTTGAGAGTGTACCAACTATATTTACCAGCCTCTGTGTCATTGAGTCTGTTAGTTGGCTGATAGCATCACTGTTATTGACTGCATACATCAACTGAGAGTTCACTATAGTGGAGATATCTTGCAGTGCTGTAACCAGTTGAGACAATTGGACAGAGCTGAGAGTAGACAGAGTATTCTTCAGCTCACCAATAGCATCACTGTTATTAGCAGCATATCTTAACTGAGAGTTAACCATGCCAGACACATCTTGGAGGGACTTTGTTAGCTGAGCAAATTGACCAGAAGTGGCCATTGACGATGAATTCAGTGAGCGCTGAGTGCTATTGATCTTGCCCTCGATTGAGTTCATGAGCCTTATTATCTGAGAGTATTGATCAGGACTACCAACACTAGAACTGCTGGTTGATGAGGATGAATCAGAAGGACAAGTGGAAGGAGCATTGAATACTTGATATGCAGTAGCAGCTCCAATAGCAAGTATGACTACTAGGAGGAATATTATCACAAATAGAGCAACCAATACAATAGTGTGAGGTTTCCTTGATGATGGCATCCCTCCTAATTTTTGCTGCACATCAAAGCCCTTGACACTCGAATCATCAAGCTCCATTTCGTAGAAATTTTTGTTTTCAACACCAACTTGCTCCATTTTGTCTTCTCCCTTGCAGTAAAGTGGGTGGAAATTTGAGATGTTTGGAGTAATTTAAATTTAATTCATAAAAAACAACATACAGTAGCTTAAACATTATTTATAGATTGAATACACTTTTGTTATACCTCGTGCAGATCACGATGTCTAAAAAAGAATTTATTGCATTGTCTATACTAACGATGACCAATCAATCTAGTTAAAAACTTTAAAATTTTTATAATAAAGAACGTGTAGCAGCAATGTTGTAAATGAAGTAGAAAAAACAGCAAGGGAAAGTATAGGGGTAAATGTATAGAAAATAGAAAAATGTATAAAAAATAGGGAAATGTAGGGAAAAGGTAGGAACAGCGCTGGGGTATATAAGAGAAATAGCAGCAAGGGAAAGTATAGGGGTAAATGTATAAAAAATAGAAAAATGCATAAAAAATAGGGAAATGTAGGGAAAAGGTAGGAACAGTGCTGGGGTACATAAGAGAAATAGCAGCAAGGGAAAGTATAGGGGTAAATGTATAGAAAATAGAAAAATGCATAAAAAATAGGGAAATGTAGGGAAAAGGTAGGAACAGTGGGGTATATAAGAAAAATAGCATGTACTAGCTATACTATAAGTTATTTAACGTATATCTCATAGAAGCTTATAGGAGTGTCTTCATTACCTGGAGACTGATCTCCACAGACTCTTAACTCGACGCTGTCAGTGATATTCACATTACCAAAGTTCCTATAGAACCATGGTAGGCCTGGGGCTGCACAGCAAGCTTGCTCCATAGTACCGCATCCCTGTCCATCCCATAGTGGATCATTTAGATACATATAACCCCCAATGCCTTGATTAGGATTACCCGATTCACAAAAATAATTGCTACCAACAAAAGATGGAACTGGCTGAGGGCTCCCTGTATTGCATGGACAATCATAGCCTCCACCACTTGCAAATGTATCTCTTGGCCCAGCAGCCAGTGACCATACATGTGTACGAGGTGACCCATAGGTTATACTGACTCCCTCAACATAGTAGCTATCAAGGGAGCCTCCTCCATGAAAAGCATCAGATGTGGCATACTGGTAACCAATGACCCGTCCGCATATTTGAGAATAGCTGATACCATTTGGGTCAAGCCCTTGAGAAACACAACTTGCAGTGGTACCAGGTCTACCACAAGCTCTGACCCCAGATTGCTGATAAAGCTGAAATCCAGAGGGACAACTAGTGGTAGCATCTGTCATATCAAAGTAACCCAGCCTTGTCCAGCCTCCTGTTACATTGCAAAGCTGATCCATATTGCAGTACACAGTTTTGCTATTAAGATGATAGTAACCTGAAGGACTGTTAGGGAGAGCATTGTAGACATCACTGCATGATATATGTTTGAACGTGTTGAATAGCTGGGAGCCATTCTGTATGGTCAATATGTTATTGACAACTAGCAATATGTTGTCAACAACACCAGCAGTAGAGGTACCAGTGTCACCAAGGTTTGAGAGCGTGTTGACTATACTTGCTAGACTTTGAGTTGTTGAGTTCATTAGCTGACCAATATAGTCACCATTACTAGCAGTATACATCAACTGAGAGTTAACCAAATCAGTGACATTTTGTATTGCGGAAACCAATTCATTGTGGCGATTGAGCCGGTCTTGATCAGAAGAGTTATTCCCAGACCCTGATTGAACAGGAGAGGAAGTTGCTGCAGTGCTAGTAGTGCAGTCAGTTGAAGCTGGAGTAGTACTGTATACATAATGGGCAGTAGCTCCACAAACACCAAGTAGGATTATCAAGAGAAATATTATCACCACCAATGCAATTATGATGACAATATTTGTTTTCTCTGAAGGAACTGATGCTATTTTTCTCTGGAAATCAAAGCCACTTGCATCATCAAGCTCCATTGGATATATGGCCTTATCATCAGGAACTTCCACTTCATTGCTGTATGCAGGATTTTCAGCCTCCATTGTTCTTTCCCCAAGTTCTTTCCCAATCAGTAAAGTGGGTGGAACAATAATATTGATAAACAAGTTCATGAATATAGGCTGTATGAATAATCTAATCTTTCATTATGCTCAGACTAGCATTGTGACTGTAGAGTCAGTAACCTACTATCGCACACCATCGATATTCGAACACTTTTTCTCACAGTTCAGTAATCAGAATCCAGTGGCTATAATTTTATCTTGTAGATCAGATGTTCCTCTACAGCTGTAGCAACTTTCATAGAGATCCGTCCTTGCTGTGTTTTTATAATAATTT